ACGTCTTTACCCACTTCCTCTTTTTATCTTTTAGTCATAACTAGTCATATTTCTCCAAATAACAGGAATCAAAACAGTCGAAAGGCAAAGAAAAGGAAGCAAAAACAGTGCATCATCAAAAAGAACTGCAGTGCAAATGGAGTGATTTCAGTTATGAGTATATGAAACTGAACCTGTTTCATTTTTCTCACATTACTACTGTACCAGACCTCGAGGAGACTAACTAACTGTATTATAGGCATACCAATGTGGGTGTACATATGTAGTTCACCATGTCTCTTCATGCTGTTTCTGCTGGTTTATCAAAACTCTGAAATAAATCATTAGTCTGGCTGTGGAAAGCTATTCTACCACAATACTGAAAATATTTTAGGGTATATTGCTTGAGGTTTGGTTCTCATATTTTTGAAAATTAACAGGGAGTTAGAGAGACAGAGACGGATGAACAGGTACAGGTGCTTTAGTCTGTTAGAATTTCTGCGCTAAGATTTTCTGTCTTCCTCAGTTAGTATTGTAATTAAGATTAATTATCTTCTCCCAGATGAAAAAAAAAAAACAATAAAGCTAGTCCAAAATCAAGGCAAGATTTCCTGGGTCAACAATGATCATGTTATCACGATGCACATTCCTGAGGTATGGAAGTCTGGTCACAGAGCACAGCATTACCAACACTGTGAGGCAAGGGCTTGGGTGTGTAGTTGGTAGAATGAAAAGTGGGATTCAGAGGAGAAGGTGATGATTTTGACTTTTTTTCTTGGTATTCGTTCGATTTAAAATTTTGTATTTCATATTGTAGTGATTGATATAAAGATAATATAAGTCATTTCTTAACATAAGGCTTGTTTTGCTAAACAAGTCTAACAAAGACGTCAAGGTGACTTCAAGAGAAATATCAAGCTGACATCGAGGTCACATCTCATGCTTGGGACAACTTTCATTTTGGAACAATTTTTCAGACATGACAAGACCTCTTCACGAATCTATATGTTATCTTGGTGGAGGGGTTTGTACAATGGTTTGCAAAAGTATTTGGCCCCGTTGAACTTTTCCACATTTTGTCACATTACAGCCACAAACATGAATCAATTTTATTGGAATTCCACGTGAAATACCAATACAAAGTGGTGTACACGTGGGAAGTGGAACGAAAATCATACATGATTCCAAACATTTTTTACAAATAAATAACTGCAAAGTGGGGTGTGTGTAATTATTCAGGCCCCTTTGGTCTGAGTGCAGTCAGTTGCCCATAGACATTGCCTGATGAGTGCTAATGACT